GGGGCCGCGGTGGGCTGCCCAGCCTGGCTGCCCTGGCGTGGGCCCAGGGATGGTTGTCACAACCTGGTGTGGGTGTCCCAGTGTGGGCCCGGGGGATGTGACCAGGCCCGAGGGCGGCCGTGATGGCCCAGTGCGGGCTCGGGGGACGTAACCAGGCCCGGGGACGGCTGTGACATGCTGGTGTTGACCGGAGGGACATACCTGGGCCAGGGGATGAGTGCTGTGACCTGGTGCGGGCTCTGCGTAGGGACGGGACGCGGCGTCAGGCCTCAATGGAGGTGCGGGGGCAGCCCCGCCACCTTGCTGGGGGCTGGAGGCTTCATCCTGAGGGGCACAAGGGAGACGGGGGTGAGCGGGGCTGGTGGTGTCCTCTCCCAAACAGCTGCCCCAAACCCTGTAGGTGACTGTGATATTGAGGTGTCCCTGTCCCTCCCACAGGAGGTCTTGTTTCCCCCATCCCACCCAAAGCAGAACCCCAGCATTGTCGCTCTGCGTGGATACCGAAAGCCTTTTTTTTTTAACCCTGAAAGTTTGAAAATAAGGTGTTACACCCTCTCGTGAGCAAATGCAGCAAAATGGGAGCAACAGGACTAGGTTTTAACCCACCTGTGGCAGGAGTTTCATGATAGCATGATTGAACAGCCTCACCTGAGCAATGGCTGTACAGAACTGGACAAATAAACACCAAAGTAATTAGTTTTGATGAGAACGCCTTTTAAAAAATTACACTTTATGCAGAAGATCATCCCGGGACCTCAAACAACTCCTCTGGGAGACTTCTAAGCTCTCTTTGTGCCGGGGGAGCCGCAGCCTGCAAGCTTGGCATCCTGATGTGCGCTGACAGGGAGGGAGAGTCCTCCCGATCCCCTGTGCTATAAACGATCCCTGAGTTGGTTTCCATTGCGGGAACACACCATGTAACGCCGACATTTCCATCTCTCCCTGTTAATCCCTTTTTAAACCCGCTTCTAGTTAACCAGATGCTTCTCCCGCTAACAGATGCCCATCAAAGGCAGCAAGAAACAAGCAATAAATAATTTAACATATCTACCATCAAATCAGGGATCTCCACCCTGTGGGTGGGGGAAGATCAAGGCGTACCCGCACACTAAAAAGGTAAGAAAATAGTTGCATATCAGCTCATCCCACTCACAGGACGTTCGGCAGTATCGGACCGAAGACACGGGCTTTGCAGATCAAAGCACCGGGCCTATTTACATTTTCAGTAAGGCCCTGAACAAACAGGTGTGTGGGTTGACACCCCTCTTTGCTCCATAGGGAGGCTGAAAAGTTTCATATTTCCAGTGGGATAATAACTTCCACGGGTGTTTTTTAAGCCCTTGGGTTTGTGGCTCGATTGAAGAGAGGCTTTAGCTTTGCGTGCTCCCTCTCCTGAGATCCTCTGCACAGAGGGAGGGCTTAAAATGAGGGGATTTGGTTAAAGCCACCTGTGGATCCCCAATCTGCGTGATCCTAGCCCTCTGGTCTCCCTTTAGGGCACTGGCCGGTGCCTTTCACGCAGGTTTAGCCAAACTCTACTGCAAAAACCCAGGAGATCAGGGCCATCTTTCCCCATCAGGGCCAACACAGCAGCAAACCCACCCCAAAGGGCAAGGACCTGCAACGCCAAAGCATGTGAGCATGAGCAGTGCAGATAATGAACACCACAATGGGGAAAATCTTCTATAATGGAAGTTTTTTGTGGATCAGGTGGGAAGGGGGTGCTTAATCATCAGGGATGACATGGTTTTAAAAGTCAGGTGGGGAAAGCAGGGGATTTGGGCATCAGCGTGGTGCCCGTTGGTTTGCATTGCGGCTTTTTGAGATGGTTTCTTGTGCAGATGGCGAGTGGGTAAGCCGTTCGGCATGCCTGAGTGGAGAGGCAGGCGAGCTGTTGCTCCCCATCCTTTCCTTATGGGGCTTGGATGGCTTTTTATTCCACTTGGCAGCAGGAAATAAAAGGTTAGAGGGAAGAAAATCCCCAGGACAGACATCTCTGCCAGACTCAGAGGGCAGCCGGGAGGTGATGTCCCTTCTCGCGAGCAGCTTTGGTGGCTCTCAAGAAATTCAACAAGGGGGTTTATTCTTGAATCCAGACCCTTGAGCCATTTCTTACAATCCCCACCCCCCAAACTCCCTTCCCTAGAAGTGTGGTTAATTACTGAGGGTGGAGCCCTGCATACACGCCTGATAGCATGCATTTGTGTGTTTGCTCCCTGCCCCGTGATTTCGCAGGAAATAGAGCAGCTTTTGTTTCTTATCTCCTCTGGTTTTCTGCCTCCCTTGTGTCTTCGTATCATGTCTCAGTTATGGTGACTAAACAAACTGTATTCAAAAAGCATTCCAAGTTGGGTTTCTGTGGCGTTTCCAGCCTTCGCTGCTGATGATTTCATTGTGCAGACCCTTTGCCCACGCACTCCTGGAGTCTCCCGTGCCCTGAAGGCAGGACAGGAAAACTACAGACCCATGAAATGAGACCACGGCATTCTCCGTCCTCCCTTCGCCTCCCCTTGCGATTCGGCGTGGGTGGATTTGGATGCAGACATGGATTTGGGGGGACAATTGCAAGGGAAGGACCCAAGAAAAACCATCTCTGAGGTTGCAGGGCGTGAGTTGGCAGAACCAAGCACCCGCTCGAGATGACACCTAGGCCAAAGTGCCACCTCTGCAGCTGGAACAAGGATGCAACAACCTCAGCGGTGCCAGCTCTGCTCCTCCCAGGCACAAATTGCTTTTGTCCTGTCTCTCCAGCCACCGAATCCTGCAGCTTTTAAAACCTCAGCCAAGACCTTGACTGGCCTCATCCAGAAGCTGCGTCGGCCCGAGAGGGAGACACATTCGTGCCCAACCGATAAGCAGAAGCAAGGTGATGGAGGGAGCATCGCCGCTGGCCGCGCTGGCAGCATGCTGCTGCCAGGAAACTCGTGTTTCTTGTGAAGGAAAAGGATGGGAACCTTCTCCTTTACCGAGGGGCCCCTCGGTGAGATCTGCTCTGCGATGAATGGTGCCGTCAGCACAGATAGAGGAGGGGGTGGACCTCGCCATCTATATAAAGCAAACCTGCGAAGCTGGCAGTCTTGGAGCTGCGAGGTCCAGGCGGGGTAAGGAGAGGGGGGGATTTTATTGCCCTGTTATTTCATCAGGCAGCTCGGGGGGCAGCGGTAGGAGGCTGCAGACGGTGAGCTTCTCCATCAGCCCTGGGCAGGATAACCGCTGTGTCCCCGTACACATCCCTGCCAAGCGCCGCATCCCAAAACCGGAGTCAAAAGTCCCCACCGGGAGTCAGCTGTGGGCACTCGGGCAGGGTGATACCTTCACAATGCTGTGTATCCGCGGTGACGCTAACGTCACTGTGCGGTGCTGTCAGGGTGCACCCAACTGACTCCATGCCGTTGGTGCGGGCATGGGGCAGCATCTGTCCTGCCTCCGGGGTGCTGCTCATCACCTGCCGTTGTGGTTTCCTCCTCCAGGGCCAGCCTGAGGATGAAGAATCTCCTCTTTGCCGTGCTCTTGGCTTGCGGTAAGTGCCCTGGTTTCACAGGGCCAGGCTGGGATCTCATCTGGGTGGCAAAAAAAAAGGTACAAACCCAAAGTCTTTGTGCACGATTCAGGTTTTTGTTCAAATTTTGCAGTTTCTCTCTAATGCTTCGTGTAGCACTGCTGTAGTCCTGGAGGTCTTCGTGACGAGGAGGCTTTGGGATGCTCAGATCCATATTTATTTTAAGAGGCCCTGGAGCCTGTTCTTACCCGCTTCCCTGCCTGTGCCAAGCCCAGGGCAGACCCTGGCAATGTGGCATTGCCCATGACCAGATGCAAGCATGGCACAGCCTGTACGGAGAGCAATGATATCTTCTGCCAGACTGAATCAGGTAGCCGCAGCAGAAACCAGACATAATCCTGAGGGGTTTTTTGGATCCTGAAAGCATGTATTTCCAGCAACGCCAGACTTATTTAATTGCTCTGCCTGGTGCAAGGCACATGGAATCCTGCTTGCCTCCTCGCTCTGCACCAGCATGAGCCCATCCTTCTGCCCCTCGGCAGGGCTGCTGCTGGCTCGCGGCAGCGTTTTGGAGCTGGAGCAGATGATCAAGTCGGCCACGGGGAAAAGCGCCCTGCTCTCCTACAGCTGGTACGGGTGTTTCTGCGGCATCGGGGGCAGAGGCACCCCAGTAGACTCCACTGACTGGTGAGTACCTGGAAAAGCATCACCACTCATCGCCCCGGGTGCAGGGCATACAGGGGTCCCTAAAAACCTGCTTGCTGGCAGCCTGCCGGTGCTGGTGTGCTCTGAGAGGGGGTTTTGGATCGTTCCCCAGCCACATCTTCCTGCTGCCTTGGGATGCCCCTCTCCCAGTCACCTTAAATTGGAGGCCGGACCTTCCTTTACCTTCCAAGTGTGGTGAGGGAGGGTTCGGGGGCAGCGGTTTGACATGGTGTCCCCCAAAGGTGCTGCCATGCCCACGACTGCTGCTACAGGAAGCTGAGAGAGGGCAAGTGCAGACCCCTGATAACCCCATACCACTTCGACGTTGCCGATGGAGACATCATCTGCAGTGAGTACCGCCGAGCAGGGGGTCCCACGGACATGGGGAAGCAGCACTGTTGCCCACGACACCCCAGCCCCAGAGTAGGGTACACAGGAGGGCATCCCCCTCAGTGATGAAACCAGCCTCACACCCGGTCAGATGCGTACAGGAGGACTCAGTGTACAATAAATAAATGGGCATTGCAAGGGATGCGGGCAGGTTGGAGACAGTGAGGATCAGGGCACGCTTCTGCATGTGCTTCCCTCAGGCAGCTCCAGGCATCGGGGGTGCCCCGAGGGGACCCCATCACCGATGCCAGCCGGAAAAGCCACCGCAGAGCACCGTGTTTTCCCCCCGCAGGTAATGAGCAGAGCTGGTGCAACAGAGAGACCTGCCTATGTGACAAGGCAGTGGCTTCGTGCTTTGCGAGCAATTTGCATTCCTACAATAAATCCTACCACTTCTCTTTCAACCTGAAATGCCAAGGAAGTAATCTCCAGTGCTGAGGAGGGGAAATCTGCGCACAAGGTTGCAGATTTTGACTGGCTTTCCCCATTGCTATGGCAAGAAAAGCGTGATGTGGGGGCTGAACAGAGCCGGAGCCAGCAAGGTGATGCTCAGGGTGAGGAAGGGCACGCACACATTACAGATGGAGATCCTCCAGTTCCCAGAAGGACACATCAGCTTCCATTTTTTTGTCCCTTCCTCTTCCCTCTCTTTATTTCATTTCCCAGCAAAGATAATAAAAGGTATTCAAAATGATTCTCCGTGGTGTTTTTCTGTAAGAACCACTGAGATTGAGGCACTGCAATGGTGGCATCCGGGCTGCCGAGTTTGGGGAGCGCTTTTGCATTTCATACCTTAGCCACACCATCTGCCTGACACCCCAATATTTCCATGGTGCCAACAGCAGCCTGAAAAAGCCGAAGGTCTGACAGCAGCTGTAATTCGCAGGTCTATTTCCAGGTCTATGCCACTGCGGAGCAATGTTGCAAGCCCTGATGGCAGATGGGGGTTTTGGCTTCTCCCAATACCCCTTCCAGCTAGCAGAACTCACTCCCGGAGCTAAAACAAAAAAGTGGATTAGGGGGCAGGTGAGATAACGCCAAGAGGTGTTCTTACAGGAATAATGGCAGCGGGAAAATGTGGGAGATGATTTGAGACCTTTCTGTGACACTTGCTCACGTAAAAATGGTGGCCAAAATTAAGGCTAAAGAATAGTTATCCTCAGAGAAGGGAAGATTGCAAAGCCTCATCCGTCCCAAGGTGGATGCTAATTTAGGAGGGCAGTTAAGTGGGTGACTAATTGGTTTCTCTATAAGGGATGAGTTCTGCATAGGGGTTGCAATGAGGAGGTGGAAAAATCATACAGATGAAAATAAAGGGAAGTTGCATTGACTCATCCCAAAACATCCATTCTGCTTCATTCTCCTGTCATGGTGGGTGAACGTTTAATCATCCACTATCTGCGTAACCCCATGTTTCCAGGAACTGCACATTTAAAGATGCTATTATTGTTGCCCATATACTTTTCACAAAGAACCGATAACTCGCTCTGAATCACCTTAGCAGTGTGGCAGAGGAACAGTTCGCAAACCATACGACCCCTCAAAAACCCCAAATCTACTTCGTTCATGGCTGCCAGGATGCAAAAGCTGAAGCAGGGCTATTAGTTCCCCCCCGATACGACTCTGTGGTGCTGGGGAGGCAGAGAAAAAGGCCCTTGGGCATCTCCAGCCAGGGGCAGAGAGCATTGGCTTCCTCCTTGAGCTGGAAATGATGCTGCTTTGACGGCTCGTCCCGTCCGGCACCGGCCCTCGTGCGTGGGGTACAGAGTCGGGCTGTTGGGGGGATTTCTCACGTTCCTGTAAAGGGGAAGGACAGCACCTTCTCCTTTGCAGAAAAGCCCAGTCAGCAAGATTTGGGCAAAACGAACATCCGCCAGCGGGGAGCAAACCCTGTATAAAGCAAGCCCTGCCAGCTGCAAGGCCCTGCAAGCGAGCAGTGGCTTTCCCGAGGTAAACAGGGATGGAGGAACACTTTTCCTCTCTTTGCTACTTTAACCAAAAACTGCGGTGCAAGCGGGGAGCAAGGTCCATGCCAGGAAAGCAGGAGCAAAGGAGAGGCTACCCGAGATGCCAGCCCAGAGGCAGAGCAGTGCATGCAACCCTCGAGGGATGATCATTCCTCCAACTTTTCTTGCTTTCCTTTCATTTTGCTTTTCCCCACCGCTCCGCTATCCGATCCTCATTGTTTCCCATCCCTGACACAGCAGCACTTGATGGTGATGGGTGCATCCTTGCCCCCCTCTTCTCCCCGAATCCCTGGAGGTGGGGAGCATCTGTGCCCCTGGACAAGGGAGGAAGTAAAAAGGAAAGTTGCTGATCTAACGGGGAAATAACATCGGTTTTATTTCCTCTCCCAGGACTGTCGAAAAGATGAACTCTCTCCTTGCCTTCAGTGTGCTGTTTGCTTGGGGTAAGTGTGCTCACTCGCACCAGTCCCACGGCTCTCCGTGCAGTTATATCCGTGGAAATTAGGACCAGACTGGTGATTTCTCAACCTTTCCTTGTCACCACCTCTCCCAACTACACAACAACGCTCCTGCACTGAGCTGGGAATAAGTTTCTCCTCTGTTGCATCTACTCGTTTTTAAGACATCACCAGCCTGGTACCAATTTGGGGGCTGGAGAGATGGAGACGCTGCTGGGGAGCCGGGCGTCAGCATCAGCCCCACCAATTTTCCCTCCCAGGCTTGTCCCCAGCTCGCGGGAGCCTCTGGGATCTGCACAAGATGATCACGAAGGCGACGGGGAAAAACGCTTTGTTGCATTACTCCTCCTACGGCTGCTACTGCGGCTTAGGGGGCAAAGGGCAGCCCAAGGATGCCACGGACAGGTAAGTGCCCATTCAAAAATCTCCCTCCCTGAACGTCTCCTTGCATGGTTTCAAATCTGGGGGGTAGTGGGGAAAAAAAACCAACCCCAATCCTCAAAGCCTTGAGCTCCTGCACAGATGCTGCCAGCTGCATGATACCTGCTACAACAACCTCCGGAGCTACCACTGCAATGCCAAGATGCAGCGCTACCGCTACGGCTGGCACAGTGGCAGCCCCTCCTGCAGTAAGTAGGACCCTGGCCAAGGGGGTGTTGCAACCCCCCCCGGCCCCCCCTAAAGCTGGGGCTGACCCTGGGCTCCCCTTTGCCTGCAGCAAAGGGCTCCTGGTGTGCCCAGCTCTCCTGCGAGTGCGACCGCAGCCTGGCACTTTGCCTGAAGCGAAGCATCGGGAGCTACAGCAAACACTACCGCTTCTACCTCAAGCACCGGTGCCGGTGATGGGAGCCGGGATGAGGGGCCAGAGCACGCACCCGGGTTCTTCATCCGGATCGCCCTACGTCCCTGCCTGCACAGACCACGTTAGTGCTGCTCTAAATTTAATCAAAGTGAAAATAAACAATGTGCTTAAACCACCTCGGTCCTCTGTGAGCTGCTGCTGGGCAGAGAAACAAATCCCCGTAAACACTCAATCTCATCCTCCCCAAACTTTGCAAAAACTCAGTCTCGGCCCCTGCGTCACTCCGGGCCGCAGCCCATGGGGAGAAGGGAGGTTTGGCCGGCGAGGGAAGGGGCGTAGCATAAAGCAGTTTTGGGACAGACAAGTCATTTTAGCGCTTCCAGTTCGGATCCCACTGGCCGGACACGGAGGGCAGCCTCTCCCTGGGAGGACGGACTGGCAGCGAGGGAGCGGGACACGAGCG